GGACTTCTGCGTCGCGCCGCGCGGCAAGAACCGCGACCGACAGACGAATGCGAGACGGAATCCTCCACTATTTGCAATCCCAAAGATATCGTGGACGCCGAAGCGCCACCGCTCATCGAGCTCTGGGCCCCCGAAAACTTGGATCATGATCCCGTCGTAGACGCGTTCCAAGATATTCGAGCAGCCGCGGAGATCGAGCCGCTCGAGCCACTCTCTCCAGTAGACATCCGCGCTGCAGCTCACAGCGCGAAACCTCGTGCTGGACTTGGCGCGGACTTCTCGCGCCGTTGAATTTTGAACGATTACCAGACACCAGACTGTAAGATTTCTGCCTGTTTAATTCTGCGGTTGAAGAAACGTTGGCTTGGCCTGGTCAGGTTCCCCTCGCCGCCGGCCGACTTCTATCCGAAAAAATCTAAGGGTGGCAGAGTCATTGGAGTGCTGTCACGGCTAGAGTCTGGTCTAAGCCCGCAAAACAATCGTTCAGTCCTGGAGTGCGGCCAACGAGCCGTCGCGGGACGCAGCCAAGGGAACGGGGCCCTCCAGGAGGATTTCTGGATAATTCTGGAGGATGTTTCCGGAGCTCTTGGGATGGAGTCCGGGCGTGGTCTTTTCGATGTGCAGAGCCCTTACGACACCATTGAATGGGCTGCGCTCATGCGCTGCGCCTTGCTGCTTGAAATCTTGTTGGCAATTCTGAATCTGGAGTTGTTATTATGCTTTAATCCCCGCACTTTGGGGCATAATGATTCGTGCGCATCTCCTTTTGCGCCCGCCCGTCCCATTATTCAAGGCATTCGCTATGGTACGCGTTTTGCTAGGTGCATGTTATATTCCATACTACACATAATCGCGACTGTGCGTCCTTAAATGTCCACGCGTATTTGGTTCGACGATTTGTTGCAGCGCTGCGTAGAGTCCAGGGCCAGTATCAGGAAACATTTGTACCGATGGCTCCTGGACACATGTCAAACTGTTTCCAATGCCGAACTTCAGGTTCCACCGAAGTCGGTCATCGTTTGCTCGCATATTCCAGATGCCCACTTCATGGCGGCGAAGCTTTCGCGTGCCGACTTTCCTGTCAAGGCCACCGGTCGAGCAGGATATTTGGGAACTGATCTCGGAGGAGGAGGAGACGTGCGAGGGAGTCCAGGACGAAACAAGCTGTCAAAGGCTTAGCCATGCATTCTAAAGTACTTCGTTTCGCCAGGGGCGGTCGGAGAGATGCCGCGACAGCACAGCTCGAACGAATAGGCACTATGTCAGCTCAGTTGTATGCTCACGAGATTCATGGGGTACTTGGACCAGCGAAGGTTCGCTGTCGCAGGCAACTGGGGGCAGTATGCGGATCAGGCGAACGAGGCAGGCGCCTCACCGCTTTGCTTGACTTGCGAGCTCCAGGAGGCGACCCGTCACTGCATTACCCTCGTAAGTGCCTTTTTTTCTGGCTGCGCAACTGGTTATCGACCCCTTTGATGCGCCCGGGAGTCCGTCGGGCCTGGTCTCAATTGTTAGCTATGCTCAAATTTGTTGGCCCAGTTCACCGTTCTCTTCATATACGTGGGCCTATCGGTGCTGCGATGCTGTATTTACTGGAGGCTGGTTGGGACCCGCTGGAACCCGATTCCTGGAAGGCTCCTTGAAATTTTCCTGGAGATTTGGATGCTTGGAAAGTTCCTGAAGATTATCGCTCGGTGAATTTCATTTTGGAATCTCCAGGGCCAGTTCTGCGTGACATTGACCTTCCCATTCGTGCCAGCTTGTGGCGGCAGGCGTCGCAGCACTGGTTTGGGGAAGGCATGCAGGATGGCATTGGTATTTTTCCTATCCGCGGCTGTTGACATAGTTTAAAGAAGATCCACAGTGCGAGCGTTTGAGTGAACTGCTGGCTACCATTGCGGTTGGAAGTTATTGGCCCAGGGCCCGCGTTGAACAGGAAATTGACGGGTCTCTGGGTGACCTGTGTCCCAGGTGCCAGGAATGTTCGGAGACTGCGTTTCACGGGTGTTGGGGATGTAAAGACAACGTCGGGGCTGCAGCGTGCGAACATTCATATTGTCTGGTCGCTGCAGTTTTTTGTTCCCAGGCCGAGTCCGATCCAACTTTTTGGTTACGAGGCCCGTTGTCGTCCAGAGACATATCCTTACCTCCTCCTCCACAGTGCAGTGAAGAATGGTGGATAGCTGAATGCAGCGCTGTGTTTGAGAGCTCCCTCGGTCGTGGCACGGAACTTGAGCAAATGCTGACTTTTGGAGGCGCGTCGGGAGGGAGTGATTCAGGTGACGGCAGGTTTCGGCGTGTGGGGCTTGCTGTTGTGTCTTTCTCTTCCTTGCTCCCAGTTGCAGTAAGAGCCTCTAATTCAGGAGGGCTCCCTGGTGACAGGTAGTCGGTTCCCAGATGTGAGCTGCTGGCTTTCGAGCTAGCACTTCGAGCGTCGACGGGTTGTGTTGTGTATGTGACCGACAGCGGGTCTATGAGTTCTGGTTTCTTCGGTCAGACGTCACTGAATCCCTCGGGAGTCGATGCTGACTTGTGGCTGAACATCGGGACCCACGTGCGTTCTGGAGTTGGCCAAGCTCCGATGCTCTTCGTGAGCTCAAATTTGGATAAGCCACCTCAAATCATTCTGAGAACAAATCCGTCCGTTTGGACGCCCGAAATGGGCACGGAAAGAATGGGCACAATGCCCAACAACAAATGCGGCTCCAAACCAACAGCGGCCACCGTTGCGCAGGCGGCCTTCTGTCTCGAATGGACACATGCCGCGGCGGCACCGACAGCGAGCCCTGTTCAAAATGAACAGGAACTGCTGTCGGGCAGTGTACTCCAGATTTCGTAATAAAGGGAGGGGGGTCTCATTTCGGGGGGGGTCTCTTCCAGGCCATCCTGGAGGGCCTGGGGGGGGTCTGGGGGGGTCTGGGGACGATGTTTTGGAGGGTTCTCCCACGGGGGGGGGTCTGAAACTTCTCGTCTTGGAGGGTCCAGACCCCCTCCCTTTTCTTACGAAATCTGGTGTACCCATTCCTTCCGTACCCATGTCGTTCGTGCCAGGTCCGAGCTCGTGGCAGGCAGCATCGTGGCTGCCCACCTTGCCGCCCCGGCGGCCGCCCGCGCTCGGACTCCGCAGGGCGTGGGGCACAGCGCCCCCAAGCAGGAGCGCCGCGCCTGGCGGGCGAGACGTCGCCCGCTGCGGCCGTCCTGGGACGCCGTGCAGGCCGAGGAGCGGGGAGGAGGCAGGAAGGCTGGATCGTCTCGAGCCCCTGCTCGTCCCCCCGCTCCCAGTACGGCTTCTGCCTCTTGTTCGGGGCACAGGCTGGAGGACTCTCGAGAAGGATGCCTCCGGTGTTTCGGGTCGGCCACGGCCGCGACCCTCAGTCAGTGGCATAGTTCCCCTTGTTTCACCTCGTCCCCCGTGAATGATAAATGTATGGTTCTTCCTCTGTGGGGGTCGGCTCCACATCGCCAAGCTGAGAAGAGGTCTCGATGCCGTCTTTAATTTCTCGAATCCCTACGTGGGATAGCCTGTTCCTGTTCCTGTACTCTCCTGTCCGACGCCCCTCGGGGAGATTCCTCTCGCCATTGCGGCTGGCCTGCCACTGCTTCCTACTTTTCCCAGGGGGGTGTAGAGTCATCGTGCTGCCACTGGCGACGCTGAGGAAGGAACGAGCGGCTCCTCTGGCCACGGCGAGCCTCGGCCACGAAATAGGCTCCCCGACCCAGACCCGAGGAACGGCGCGAAAACCAGGGCAAATCCTGAACTCAAAGCGGTCCCTGTCTCAGCGTCTGGACAAGCCAGAGCCGAGACTGACGACATAGCTCGCTGTGCTTCAACACCACTGCCAACCACGCCACCCGGCCCGCACCTAGAAGACACTGTGCTTCTGAATGTGACCGCTTTGAGCGGCCTGGGCTAATCCTACCAGCCCTCTGGGCGTGAGTGGTTTAGAGCGTTTCCTCTTCCAACTCCCCTTCTTCCCCTTAGGGGAGGGGTTTTACTCCTCCACTATTTTCTCACCCTGGGTCTGGAGGGGGGGGCGCGAGGGGTTAGAGCGTCCAAAACGGCCTCAGCGAGAAGGCCAACATCATTGATTTTATTGAGGCTTTGGCCGCCTTTGGGCCTCCTGGGAGGGCGACGCTACTGCCCCTCCTTTGATCGACCTCTTCCAAGATGGCCCCCAAGGGTGCCCTGGAGGCCCCAAGAAGCCCCCAAAGAGCTCCCCGAGGTCTCCCGGAAGCACCCAAGACGCCATAAGAGCCCCCTGGGACTGCCAAAAGATCCCCAAGACGCCCCAAGAGGACTCCAAGAAGCTCCCGAAAGAAATCCGGAGAGACTCCGATAGGCATCCAAGAGGCCTCTGGCCTTTCTGCTCGCCCTCCTCATCCGCCCATACCTCATGCCTCCTCCCTCCTCCCTCTCCCCCTCTCCCTCCTCCTCCTCCTCCTCTGCTCCTCCTCCTCCTCCTCCTCGGATTGCTCCTCCATCCTCCCCCTCTTGGGGCATGACGTGTTACCAACTTTATTCCACTGCATGCTCCTCCACATCCTTGAGCAAGGCGACACTGCCAATTCGTCTGGACATCGTTTCTGGATGGGCTGGTGGGGTTACGCGAAGCGTCTAGAATTTCTCGGGTTGATCGAGCTGCCGCAGTACGACTTGAACCCCTGATCACTCCGCGAGTCAAGGTGACATGCTCAATGTACAATTTAACACATAACCGAAAGCAAACGATGGATCGATGAACCAATGTACACTCAATTGGAACGAGTAGTCTACCGAATGCTGGCAGAATCACTGAGGTCTATGAACATTGAGCGCACCTGAGTTCTGCGCACCAGGTCCCTGGTCGGGATCCAGACGGGCCAAGCATTGACGCCAGAGGGGTGGGCCCCAACGCCAGCCTGATCGCAACGTCCAAGAGCCTTCAGAGGGTCTGAACCCAGCATCCAAGTCGAACAACAACTTCTGCCCGTGCCTATGAAGCGCAGAAGTGGCGGCGCGCCTCAACATCGTTGGCGGGACGCTGCGCTGGTTCAACTGGCACGGGGCGCTAGCTACAATCAGAAGAGCATGGGCCCTGGCAACATGAGAAACATTCAAACAACATTCGCAACGAATACCTCCTGATACGATGCGCCTGAATCTGTCGCCCCCCCCGGCCAACACATAACGAACTCATTTCCAGTGTCTCTCCGTGAGTGCTTCTCTGGCAAAGCGGGTAAGTGGCCTGCTAGAACCTCAACTCAACCCCGAGTAACTCATCATTCCATATCGGACCATGCCCGCAAGGCCGCCTTTGGCCTTGGGGGACTCGACTGTCCAAAACAGCTCTAAGACAAACCCACGCGGCTCCGAGACTATCAAACATAGTCGCAGTTTTGTTCCAGATAGGCCCAGTTCAAGATTACTCAGACGGACCTCACCAGGGCCTACTCTAGCGAAACTTGGCGTGATACTCTTACTGGGATGGCGCAATCAATCTTGCCCGAGAAGGCCACAAGGACCGCCCAATGCCCCCTGGCTGGCGCCTGGGATACCAAGACCACAGAAATCCACATGGTATATTGTTTCACGGCTTTGCGACGAATGCCATGTTCCAAACGTAATGAATATTGGAACACCCGTCCGGCCAGTCCGAATCTTCCCACCATGGAGCAGTAATTTTACAAGCCATGATTTTACAGACTCAGCGCATCGCGTGGCCAGCAGCAACATGCACTGCAGTCCCTGGAAGACAAGGAGGCTCATCCAGGCTCGGCCGACACTTCCGCTACCCGGCGGGTCAAAGGTGAGCAGGCTCCCAACTGAGCTGGAGAGAAGAGGAGCAGGAGAAGCGTCAATATGGACGCTGGCAGTGGGAAAGACGCCCCAGTCAAGCAACTACTGCGGCGGGAGTCTTCCGCGATGGGGTGCCCAAACTGCCACTCCCTGCTGCCCGCGCCGATTGGCCACCCTGCCCCGAATGATGGGCCGAATTTACACCACCACGGCAGGAGAGGGAGGAGGAGGAGGAGGAGGAGGAGGAGGAGGAGGAGGAGGAGGAGGAGGAGGAGGAGGAGGAGGAGGAGGAGGAGGAGGAGGAGGAGGAGGAGGAATTCGCTGGCCCAACGGGCCAGAGGCGTGCTAAGATCTCCGGTGACTGCTTTACAATCTTTCTACTTCGCGCGCGCGGGGCGGCCCCTGGGGGCCCCCGGGCGGAAAGTACCCCGGCAAGGTCCCGAGAGAGTCCCGGGAGGAGTCACCAGGGCGCTCCAGCAGCGCACCAACGCGGCTCCGAGACGTCCCCGAGAGCCCCAAGAAGGGCCAAGAGGCTTCCAAGAGGCCCCCAAGATGCTACATGAGGGGTCCGAGATGCCACAAGATCGCTCCAAGACGCCCACGATGGCCCCCAGACGCCCCAAGAGGCCTCCAAGAGCACTCCCGAGAGGGCCCCAAGAGGCAAAATTCACTGCTTTTCCTTAGGTTTTGGAGAGATTTTGGCGTTTCCACCTTTTCGGCTTCACGACACCCCAAGACGGCCCAAGAGGCCCCCAAGACCGCCCCAAGAGGGCCCAAGAGGCCCCCAAGAGGGCCCCAAGACGGCCCAAGAGGGCTCCAAGACGGCCCAAGAGGCCTCCAAGACGGCCCAAGAGGGCCCCAAGAACGCCCCAAGAGGGACCCCAGGGGGGGAACACGAAACAATATTTCGAGCCCTCGGCCCTCAGAAGTCCCCAGGAGGCCCCAAGAGGCCCCTAAGAGGCCCCAAGAGGCCCCCAACAGGCCCTCAGGAGGCCCCCAAGAGGCCCCCAAGCGGCCCCAGGAGGCCACCCAAATGCCCCCCCGAGCACGCAAGCAAGTGCCAGCGACGCTACACTATGGGCCGGCGGAATGAGCGAAGCGATTCAATAAGGGAAAGGAGGAGGGCGGAGGAGGAGGAGGAAGAGGAGGACCTCCCCATCCTCCCTTCTCTCCCGTCCTACCTGTGGCAGTGGTGGTGGAAAACGGGCCCATCACCGAATGCTGCCCTTCATAAGCCCTCGCCGCGTCCCGGGAACCTTCCGCTTGCCGTCCGCGCCCACGACGGCCCAGGGTGGCTTCAGCATGGTGGTGGTCCTGCCCCCGCCCACGACAGGCTGGGCCCCGCGCTCCAGTGCACGCGGAGGCAGCCTTCACTGGTCACGCCACCTCACATCTCGAGATTGCGTCGGTTGGGCGCGAGGCATGACGACAAGGACGTCGGCGATCACGAGTGAAACTTTTCCGCGTCGTCGCACAGCATCTCTGAGCTTAGCGGGAGACAGGCGACTGGAAGCCACACGATGTGGATGTGCTGATTGCAATTAATTATAATATTTGGCCTCGTGGAAGGGCGGCAAACGATGTAACTCCTTCGCCGCGGAACCCGGTTGGGGCGTTTTACGCCCGCTGCGCTCAAGTTACTAAGGAAAGCTCAAGGAGGAACGCGGACGACCACGACGATGACGACGACGACGACGACCACTGCAATCAATCTACTACCACGA